CCCCAAAACCCCAAAACCCCAAAACCCCAAAGAATAATATTTAAATTAAACATTAGATAAAATTATAAATTAGTATCATCGCTAAGTAGTTAGGGATTTATGAATAAATTCAAATTTTAGCAATAACCATTTGGCAAAGTGGGCATTTGAATTCAGGGGTTTAGTTGTCTCTATTTTCAACAATGTATTTTATTAATTCTAAAATGCAATCGCTATGAATCCCGTGAACACAGTTTTTGAATTTTCTAATAGTTTTCTTAGAATCTGCAAAATTATCATGGCAATAGCAGCAAACTTGTTGATTGATAACTTTCTGAAGCTATTAAAGGGAAACTATGTCAGTCTAAGCTTTTAATTGATTGAAAAGATCAGTAGTATTATACTGCTCTATAGTTTTTTCATTTTTTAGGGGTGTAGGATTAGCTTTAAATTCGTTAGCTTACATATTTGCTCTATTTCCAGTTGGCATGTAAGAAACATCGTCATTCGGAAGAATAAAAGTTTTATTCTTTTAAACAAACATAGTAGTATTATGAGAATTTGAAGTATTGTGAGAGTTAGAAGTATTTGCAATTGCTGCAGTTTTCTTTCGATTACAGTAAACTATACCACCTACTATTCCCCCAATCAAAGCGATTACCAATACAACAACGACAATGATAATTATTGTGGTATTCGAAATGCCAGAGAGACTAACTCCACCTCCGTTACCACCAACATTAACAGTTACATCAGTGGTTTAATTCGCGTTTGTTTGCAATTATCTAATTTGAACATATTTTAGTTGAATTCCTTAAAATCCATTGGTTTTCATATTTATTTTTTGACTTAGAGAGTCCTTCTTCTTGAATTTTGGTTTTAATTCATTGATGTTCAATGAATTGTTTTCCTCTTAATATATGCCGCTATTTGATGAATATTAGTACGCATATTAGAAATCTCTCATTGTCTCGACCTCACTATTTGCTGTTACATTATTCTCAATATATTTCTCGAGTTAAAGCTCTTATTCTTCATTTGATGACAATTGAGACCAGTCATCAATGTTTCCTAAGTTCTATGTCATTAATTTATTCTAATTCATTAACATTCAATTTTTTTAACATACAGACAAACGGGGTTTTGGGGTTTTGGGGTTTTGGGGTTTTGGGG